ATGAGCTCAGTAGACAGAGTAAAAAGGGTCAAACAGAAGATAGCCCTGAATCTGAATTCCTCCTCCAGAGGAATTAAAAGTCCATATGTCCTAGATTCTTGAGAGCACAGAGGAGAGATCACGCTGCAGAATAGAGATAGTTTTTTCTTTACTCCAAAGAGGAAGTTTCTGGGAGCAGGGGAAGGTGGACAAAGTATAGAATAAATAATAGTTTACATAACCAGATATGAATTTTTAAAAGATAAAAATTATTTTTTAAAGTTGAACAATAATGGTACAACTGTAAAAAGTGACTAGTGTTCCATGGCAAGAAATCAGGTGAACCAGTATAGTAACTTGGACAGAAAATTAGTAAATATGATAGAAATAAAAACATTAGAAAGATATTCAGGAGGTGAGTGAATACAACTTAGGGATTGATATTGATGGAACATAGGACAGGAGTGAGAGAGAGAAAAGTGTCTAGAATGACCCTCAAGTGTCAGTCATACACAACTGGATGTATTGTGATAGCATTCACTGAACAAAATGGATTGGGCTTGAAGAAACAGGTAACAAGATCGGATTTACTATGATATTTTGAGGTGTTTTTAAGACTTCCAAGTACAGATGTTGAAGAATCCATTAGATATACAGGTTTGGAACTCAGAGATGAGAGATAATGACTGTAGATATAAATTTATAAGTCACTGGAGTAAAGACAACATTGAATATATACATATAGATGAAACCATCCACTGGAAGAATGAGTTTTGAGTTTTGAGAGTATTCTTCAATGTTTTAGAACCATCTTCAATGTATTGAGGAAAAGTTCATAGTAAATATATTAAAAATAATGGTACCTATGACATTTAACGAATATAAGAAGATAGATAACATTGTAGCCCAAAGACGAACTGACTCACTAAGGATGACATAGATTTAAACTTCAACACTGGCAATAGAAAAGACAAACTGCATTTTTTTGTAAATGATACTTAGAGAAGTACAGAATTATAGAATATTGTTTGGATGCTTTCATCTTTTCATTTTCTCTAAGTGTAGAAAGTTTTACTTACTTTATTAGGTTTTTTAATTCATAAAGGAATGCATGCTTGATGTAAAAAACAATAAAGATTTATAAAAAACAGTGCAGTACACTATACCTCCCTACTTTCAAACCCACCAACTAAGCTCATCAACATTAAAAGTTTGGACTGTGTTCTTCCACATCTCTCTCTGCTGCCATACAATTTATATGAACAAAAATAGGATTTTATTGTTATAATCCACCATGACCAAGTGGCCTTCATCCCAGGGATGCAAGGATGGTTCAACATACATAAATCTATAGATGTGATTCAGCATATAAACAGAAGCTAAAACAGAGATCATATTATTATTTCAATAGATGCAGAAAAATCATTTGACAAAATTCAGCACCCTTTTTATGATTAAAATCCTCGACAAACTAGGCATAGAAGGAATATATCTTAAAAATATATCTTTATCTTATCTTAAAAGCCATATATGACAAACCCACAGCCAGCCTCACATTGAATGGGGAAAAATTGAAAACATTCCCACTAAGAACTGGAGCAAGACAAGAATGCCCACTGTCACCACTTCTATTCAACATAATGCTGGAAGTGCTAGCCAGAGTAATCAGGCAAGAGGGCGAAATTAACCATATCCAAATCAGGAAAAAGGAGGTCAAACTGTCACTTTTTGCAGATAATATGATCTTATATCTAGAAAACCTAAAATATTCCACCAAGAAATTCCTGGAATTGATAAATTCAGCAAAGTCTCAGGTTACAAAATCAATGTACACAAATCAGTGGCATTCCTATACACCAACAACAGGCAAGCTAAGAATCAAATCAAAGACTCAATTCCATTCATAATTGTTAGAAAGAAAATAAAATGCCCACGAATATATTTAACCAAGAAGGTGAAAGACCTCTATAATGAAAACTATGAAATACTGAGGACAGAAATTGCAGATGATACAAACAAGTGGAAAAACATATCATCCTCATGGATTGGTAGAATCAACATTGTCAAAATGCTCATACTATCCAAGTGATCTACAGATTCAATGCAATCCTCATCAAAATACCAATATTCCACATATCTAAAAAAAATAATTCAGTACTTCATGTGGAACCAGTAAAGAGCCCAAATAGCCAAAGCAATCTTAAGTAAAAGGAATAAACCAGGAAGCATCACTTTACCAGACTTCAAACTATATACAGTGATATAGTAATCAAAAGAGCATGGTATTGGCACAAAAGTAGAGACATAGACTAATGAAACAGAACAGAAAACCCAGATGTAAAGCCATCCACATACAACCAACTGGTCTTTGACATAGCAGACCACAATATACACTGGGGGAAAGAATCACTACTAAAGAAGTGGTGCTGGGAAAATTGGATGACCACATACAGAAAAAAACAGGACCCATATCTCTCACCACTCACAAAAATTAATTAATTCAAGATGGATAAAGGACTTACATGTAAGGCATGAAACCATAAAAATTCTATAAGAAAATGTTGGAAAATCTCTCCTAGATATTGGCCTAGGCAAAGAATTCATGAAGAAGACCCCAATGGTAACCACAGCAAAAATGAGAATAAATAAATTGGACTTAATTAAATTTAAAAAATTCTTCTCAGCTAAGGAAATAATAAACAGAGCAAATAGACAAGCTACAGAACGGCAGAAAATATTTTTAAGCTATACATCTCATAAAAGACTAATAACCAGAATCTACAAAGAATTCAAGCAAATCAGCAAAAAAAAAAATTAAACAACCTCATTATAAAGTGGGCAAAAGACATGAAGAGAAGCTTCTCAAAAGAAGATAGGCAAATGGCCAATAAATATATGAAAAAATGCTCAACCTGATTTTAACCTAATGCTTACCGTTGCATGATCTAATGCTTACCGTTTAATCTAATGCTTACCGTTGCATGACCTTGATGATCACTAATCATCAAGGAAATGAAAATTAAAACCATAATGAGGTATCACCTTACTTTGGTTGGAATGGCCTTTATTAAAAAGTTCAAAAACAATAGATGTTGGCATGGATGCAGAGAGAAAGGAACACTTACACACTGTTGGTAGAACTGAAAATTCATACAGCCTCTATGGAAAAATACATGGAGATACCTCAAAGAACTAAAAGTTGACCTACCATTTAATCCAGCAATCCCACTTCTGGGCATTTACCTAAAGGAAAAGAAATCAATTTATCAAAAAGAATCCTGCACACAAATGTTTATTGCAGTACAATTCATAATTGCAAAGACTTGGAATCAACCCAAATGCCCCCCCCCAATTCATGAGTGGATTAACAAAATGCGATATATATATATATATATATACTATGGAATACTACTTGGCCATGTAGAAGAATGACTTAATACCTTTTGCAACAATTTGGATAGAACTGGAGACCATTATGTTAAGTAAGGTATCTAAAAAATGGAAAAACAAACACCAAATGTACTCACTATTAAATTGGAACTAACCAGTGAGCACACATTTCCATAGTGGGAAGTAAATCTCAAAGGAAATCAAGTTGAGGGGAGGTAGGAGGAAGGATTGGGCAAAAAACCTACCTAAGGGGTACAATGAACACTGTCTGGTGGCAGGCACACTTTTGCAAACTTTTGACCCTGACTCGAGCATTATAAAAGTGATCCATGAAGCCAAAAACATTTGTACACCCATAATACTTTGAAATAAAATAAATTAAAAAATACATTTTTAAAAATAAAGTTAAAAGAAGAAAATAATATAAGCACATGGAATTGAAACTTGTTACTTAACATTACATTGGTACAACTTCTTAATCAAAGAATTAACATAGTTAGTTTTTAAAAGAATATCATAAGATTCCAAAGTATAAAAATACTGTGATTTATTCAACCATTCTCCTTCTAATGGATATTCAGGTTGTTTCTAGTTTTTATGCCTTTGCAATATCTTATACATGAATTGTTGATTCAAATGAAAAGTATATATTTTTTCATTTTAATAGATATTGTCAGATGACTTTCCAAAGAGTTTGTAGCACTTTGCAATCCCACCAACAAAGTGTCAGAATGCCCACCAGTATTCTTTGCCAGTACTGGATGTTTTGCTTTTTTTTATTTACTGCTAAATCGAAAAGTGGAAAAATAATAATATCCTCTTGTTTTAATTTGCATTTTTTACTACTAGTGAGTTTATTTAGCTAATATTTGAATGTTTAATTTTTTAATGTTTACATTTATTAGCTAATATTTTAATTTTAACATCTACCCTTTAATGTTTATATTTAGTTGCCATCCTATGCATTATCTACTCTGAGATATATGTAACATTTTATTCCATACTCTCAGATTTTGGAACAATAACATCAACAACAACAAAAAAAAAAGGACAAAGAAATTTTTACATTTCCAGTCCATCTCTCTTTGAAACCAAAAGCATTTAATAATTCCAGATGGAGTGAGGAACTGCTTGTCCACAGCTGACCTCACATCACTTCCTTCCATTATACTCCTAATACATTAACTCCCCCAGCCCTCTCCACATGCACATACACTGTACTCATTCCTGTGTCTGTCTCTTGCATATGATGCTCTCTCTATCCCTTCTTTTCTTAGCTAAAGTGTGTTCATCCTTTACATTCCCTGGACAAGTGGATGTATTGTGGATGCATCTGTTTATTAAAACCGAAAGTCTCCTGTCATCTAAATAATACTTTCATGTCACTGAAGCATGTCTAATCATTACAAACATGAACTATTATTTTACTGTTTTCTTACTACTTATATGACATGTCATATTGGCCTCAGAGAAGTTTTTTTACCATATCCCTCATTCCAACTCCAGCTGACTTAAATATTGATTAATAATTCTTCTTACCGGTTACTTAAATATGATTCAACAATGTCTGTTTTTGTTATGGGATATATCTTTCATCTTATAATAATGCTCTTTTCTGTTTCCATTTGTAGGGAAACTTTTTGGTTTCAAGTTCCCTGCTCTGAGAGTGCTCACTTACAGAAAGCAGTCCTTACCACAAGACGACCCTGATATGGTAGTAATTGATTCATCTAAACACAGCGATGATTCAGTAGCCATGAAGCACTTTAAGTCTCCTACAAAAGAAAGCTGCAGCCCCTCCGAAGCAGATGATACAAAAGCTCTGATACAGCCCAGCAAATGTTCTCCCTTGGTGAATATATCTGGACCTCTTGATCATTCCTCCCCCAAAAGGCAATGGGACCGACTCTACCCTGACAGACTGCAGTCAGGTTCCCAGCTGACCCATTCCAGATCAAAGGAAAGCATTTGTAGTATACGGAGAGCATCTTCAGTTCATGATATAGAAGGATTCAATGTGCACCCCAAGAACATATTTAGAGACCGGCATGCCAGTGAAGGTATGTTTGATAATTTTTTTAAAAAATGGAAACATAAATTAATTGGTAATAAAAGATTATTTCCATATTGTTTTTAATCTCAACATTAATTCTTATGCCTTGGGGAAAGAAATGTGATTAAAGGCTATTAAAAATGTGAGTTCCACATTCAGAATTGTTACTGATTTCCTCTTTGAACTCTGATAAGTAATTTGATTTCTTCTGGCTTCTTTATCTGTCTTTCTGAAATAGTCTGATAACCATTATCTGCCTACCTCATGGAGTGTTAATTAATTAATGCTTATTACAAGATGTGCTTAGGTGATGAACACTATTATCTCAAGCAAAATAAATTTTGCTGCATTTAACAAGTGATCATGCCGTAGGAAGGAAGAATGATGTGCCAACACAGGACTATTTCATTGAACAACTCCTTCCAAAGGGAGGGGTGCATGAAATGTAATGTACGGGGTGATCAGAAAGCTATAAGCTGACAGGGTTGCAGAATAGGTAGAAGGAAAGGGAAAATTTAGGAGGAAAAAACACCTGAAAGTTCTGATCACAAGGAAAGCTAATTTGAAAAGCAAAGTTAGAATTCATTTATTTCTCGCTGGCCTCTTCTATTCACATACTTATATGAGCCAGTAAGGAAAGTAGGGAAGCTTAAAAAGTAATGACAGAAATAACTAATCATTGACACAATAATGGATAACATTATTTACTATGTTCGAGGCAGTGTAAATGCTTGACACACATGAATTCTCATTCTCAACTCTGTAAGTTAGGAACCCTTTTTAAGCCCCATTTTCTAGATGAGGAAACTGAGGTTTACATATGTTGAATAAATAACTAGCCCAAGGGTACAGACCTCGTCAGTGTCAGAGCCTGGCTTCAGTCCAGGGACTGCCTGTCTCCAGAGTCCACAATCAAATCCATACAATGATTTTCCTCTCTCGCTCCTGCTCCTCCATGAAACCTTGCCATAGGAGGGGACTTTGGAGTCCCTGAACTTTCCCCAGGGAGTCTGACAATCAGACTACCCTGCAAGGGTACATCAGTCCCACTTTTCTGACTCCTACAGATTTGGGTTCTTGAGAGGCCAGCTGTCCATGCTCAGGCTAGTTTTCTTTTTAAAACATAAATCCTTAGTATGGGTACTAGGCACTTTGTCAGCTGACTACAATTATCTTTCAAGCCTCATTTCTAGCCCTAGCAAGGCTCCTTCCCCTATAATACACATACTCCATTCTATACTTGCACATACTCCATTCTATACTTGCACAAATATGATTTGCCTTTTCCTAAAATCTATCAGATGTTTTCTCGCTTCGTTACTTTGTTCTGCCTGGAATACTCTTCCCCACTTTGTCCCTCCTCACACTACCACTCAGTTGCAGGGATCCATTTACCCCTCCCAAACCAGAAGAATTAAATGATTCCAAACCTGAGGGTGCAAAGCAGTATTTACATATAGTATAGCATTTATTACACTCTATATTTCATATGTATTATATGTCCATCATTCTTGTTAGATATGCAAGCAAATGATTATGTTGCTGTGAGCTCCTTTAGCATAGGCACTCTTATGGAGAGAAGTTCAGATGGCTCTTAGGAGCTTCTCAGTATCCGGCACAATTGCCTACTTCATGGCAGATGCTTGACAAATGTTGGTGTGACATTGAGATGTGCTCATGAATTGCATTCCAAAATCACACACATCAGGAAATAGAGTTATCTGCTCCATACTATTCTGAATTAAACCAAAGTATAATATTAGAATTGAATCATGTGAAAGATATTTATCTAAAGGGCACAATGAAGTAGAGAAGGCAGAACTGGTGAAAGAGTTGGCAGGAAAAAATTTAAGGAAAAATAAATCAATATCTCAGAAACAGATACAAGAGCAATTAACACATCCATTTTAAGCTGTGGGCCAAAGAAGGTCAAAAAGAAAATAAAATCAAGGCCAATTCCCAAACCAAATAGTTATCTAGGGCACCATACCATTTAGTAATGGCAGAATCAATATTTCTTGACAGAATAAAATATCTATAATTTGATCTTTGATCAGTGGGTACTGTGAATGGACAGCAACAATAAATCAAATATGATAATTCAAATGAACCATATATATTTTAGTTAGTCCAGTTAGTATAGTCATTTTTAGCAGCTCTTCAGAGATTGACTCTTCGGAGAATTGACTGTTCAGAGAGTCCCCAGAGAGAAGATGAGTTCCACAATAAAGGCAGTATAATAACATTCAGAAACAATAAATTTGAAAATCAAACTGATACATAATCAGTGCATCATACAGACTTAGCCTGTGTTTTGACAGTGGTGCTGAGTAGTTTAGATCAGATTTCATGAGTTAACTTCATTGTTTTCAATTTATGTGCTCTCCATTTAGTATACAGTTACTGATACAATTATGGGGAAAATGATTTAATATTTTTGGATTTCTCAGTACAGGTACTATACATAACACCCCATGCTAAAATCATCCTTAGTTTTTCTCCCCACCCAAACTCAGCTATTTTCAGAAAAGTATTATTTTCTTACAGATGCTATAGTCAATGTGTGACTATAGATTGATAAATTCAGAGGGTATTTTGTACTTCAGCTTTAGAGCAATTTTAACTACAAAATCACTGATTAGCATAGAAGAAACCACACTTCCTAAGACCACATAATTTGATATATTTTAGAAATGGAGCCATTGATAAAGGAAGATGGAAAACTTTTAAAACAAATTTTAGTTTTATGAATTCATGTAACTGGTTGACAGGTTAAATCCCACATGCACTAGATTTTGAATTCAGATTGTTGTCTCCTCATTCAAATAGAGAAACCTCCTATTCATGCATATTTTACATATCTTCCCATTTATTCTTCATTACCGTCAAGGACCTTAGAACTGTACTTTTCAAACCATTCTGTGACCAGAATTCTTCTCTAATCTGTCACTGACCAATACATTTGTAAATGCAATAAAAATGCTCTATTAGAAAAATGAAATTTTAAAAAATAGACATACGAAATATGAACTCCAATTGTTTTATTGTTAGATTGAACAGACCCACAATTGCTCTATAAAACTTCTACAAAAGATTCTAAATACTTTCTCTAATTTCTGCACTTATATTGTCAAGGAAGAATAACAAGCAGAGCTCAGCTAGTACCAGTGCACAAGCCACACAGTCTGCCTTAGATTATTAAAGCAACATTAACTGTACAATGTAACTTTTTGTTAGTTTTTGGAATTTGTAAATCTTTATATATAATTTTTGGCTTGGTGAATAGAGTTATAATTTATAACAACTTGCAAGCAGGTGTTACTTCATTTGAAATCTATTTACATTGAGATAAATACTTCATATATATAACAAGTTTTTGGACCCTTAATTCTGTGGAGACCTTAATTCTGTGTAATCAAGAACTCTTTCACTATCCTTATTTGCTTTTTGTGATTCTCTCAAAGAGGGAAGAGAGTTTTTGTCTAAGGCCACAATTTTATTTTTATATCTCTATCCAAGGCAATGTCTACTATAGCAACTCAGTATACCACATTATTGGAATTATTTCAATTATAAGCTTTGTAACAGTTATGATATATCCAAAGATTTTACATGTGCACAGTGTTAGCATAGATGTCAACAAAATATTAAATAGATTTTACACATCTTGAATGAATTGAATAGTTTTGATATGACCATGACATTTATTTTAAGCTTGTATGTTTTGAAGCTAGTAATGCATTTTTTGTTAGTAACAAGTATACAGCATTTAGATTGCTAATCCCAAATTTGAAAACACTCCACTCTAAGATTTGAAAACAGCCATTTCATTACAAATCATGTGCTAAATATCCTAGGTATTACACTGAGTACATTATGACAGCACAAATTAAAAATGTTCACCTTCTTTTTAAACAGTCAAATCTTTCACTGATTTATTGCAATTATTTTCACCTGTGAATGACTATTTGCGTTATATTTGCTATTTTCAAAATACATATCGAACAACATTGGGAGATAGGTAGTTAATAAAATTGTGATTACTAATACAAGTTAGTTTATTAAGGTAAACTGCTATCTTAGAAACATTTTCCTTATTAACACACTAACTTCAATTATACTAAAAAATACTTAACATACAAAATGCTGTGTAGTCTTCCTTTGAGTATATTCTGAGTGGTGTTCAGGAGACCCTAAAATTGGCTTCTGACAAAGTTGAAAGTTTTGTCACAACTGCTGGCAGCTGGGGATGTCTTTCTCTATCTAAACTGTCATAGTTATAAAATCTGTACCTTTGAATCTATTTAAATGGAGATAAATGTTTCACATATTTAGACAAGAATGTCTATTATGGCAGATATCATTTTAGTATGTGCATTTTACTTGGTTGAATAGTACACAATGTTAATTTCAATCTAAGATAAATTTTCCATCATTACATCCTATTTTCTCTGCTTGTTTTTACAGAGGTAATTCAATGTATACATAATATAATTTTAGTGTTCTTTTTATATTTTTCTCTCTTTTTTATCCTTATATGCTCAAAACAGACAATGGTCGCAATGTCAAAGGTAATGTACAAACTCAGATTTCACCATCTGATGCTCAAAGTGCCCCTTTACTCGGCATGCTAACTTGCCTGCTGTATGCCCTGTTCAATGCAACATCTTCATGCTGCCCTTAGCTAGTCCAGGTGCCTGGTGGAGACATCATGGCTTGATTTTGCTGGAGACATTGCTACTTTCACAGCTGCATCACCAAAATGATTATAAACTCCTTTTGCCTGCAAGAAGTGTAAGCCTAGGTTGACAATGAACACTTCCTAAATATCTGCATCGTTTGGAAAGAAACAAATATCAAGCTAAATATATTCCACTGTGAAAGAGGCACATAAGCCTATTTCAGAAAAAAAAAAAAACATTTTGAGTACAAGATTAAATAAAATAAGGAAAGTGCTACATTACAGCATTACTTCACTTGTTCCTCTTTTGTTTCCTTAAAACTAGTTTCACGTTCCTGGATGGCAGGGGGTATGGTTTTAAGCTTACTGTAAAGTAGTAAACTGTACTTGCATGATAGTCATTTTCTATTTTTTCTATATTATATTTGAATCATTTTAATTGTGTTCTATATTATTCTGAAATCACTGGCATGACCTACAGCTACCATAGGGTAATGTCTAACTGGGCAATAAATACTCCGGATAAATTTGGATTGGGCTAAAAATTGGAAATTCACTTCTGTTTTCTACTATCTTATAGTAGAGACAAGGATCACAAAATATAAAAATCATATTATTCTCATCAAATTGAAAACTATTGGGCTTGGTCTTTTCCCATAGGCCATGCATGCTGCTGTGGGTGTGCAAATGGTGACAGTGACTCATTTTGTGCATGTGTGTTGCATGAATACGTCTCCACCAGTAACCATCAGTACTTAGAATTCAGTGTTTTGGCCTCCTTTGTATGTCACTGGTACTCTGACTGCTGTGTAGTTTTATATATTGATTTCTCAGTTGCTACTAATTAATTCAGAGCTGGTTATGGTTATGAATTCATAGTACTAGAAACCAAAGATGTTTTCTTGTCAGCAGCCCAGGATAATTCAAAAATGAAGGAAATTATGACAGTTTCCCCCTAGCCTCAGATCAACACCCTGACTTTTTTTTTGTTAAGCATTTCAAAAAAGGTCTGTGCAGGTAACCCCCATTATTATTTTTATTTTTGGGCCTGTCCACTATGATTTCTAAAAGGGAGTAAATTAGTGTCAGCTCTGGGTGGTGGTTTGCATTGACATAATTCAGAATGTAACCTCAAGAAACAGGATACAGATGGCTCTTGCCAACTGGCTTTAGGATTTAACAATTAGCAGTAAATTAGTAGACATTAATTTTCCAGTGATTTTTTTCCCAAGGAGAAATTAATTTTTTTCAAGAAATAGAAAATTGGGCTTGCATATCTTCCAAACTAGTAGTTCATGTATTTGTCAAACTATAGTAACTTTATTTTTAGCCTCATAAACTAATCTATTTAATCTCCAATACCTTTTTCTCAACCCCCTCATTTTTTTAATAGCGATAGTCTTTAAATAAAAACGTTCTCTATTACTTATACAGATCTCAGATTACACATCAATTTTATATCACAATTCAAAGTATATAGTGGGATCATCAAAGTCAGAATTTGGAATTAAGAATCTCTAAAACATTGTAGACAGTTTTCACATATTGATATTTATGAAGTGATATCCCCAAATTGGAGGGAAAAATTGTAAACTTAATAAAGTTTTATGTAAATATGCACGCCAAAGTTTTGGGGTTTTTTTTTCAGGCTCTGGTTTTAAAAACTATTAAACAAAGTTTAAGTATCTGCCTTAAGTATCTGCCTCTTTAAGATTCTCACAGAGCAATTAGTATGCTAAATAACATAGGACAATACATTAATTATACTTTAAAAATATTTTTGGCTTTGCTTCTAAACCAGATTTCACAAAAGATTAAAAAATGAAAGATTTCTATACTGCTTTGTGTGCGCAATGCATAATTACAGTTAATTATGTCGATACCTAACTCAACCAAAAAAATCATTTCTTTACCAAAATAAGATAAATAATTTAGGAATGCCTTTGGAAGGTCTTCAAGATCATCTGGTTTATTATCTTCAGGTGAGGCGCTGGCATAAATCCCTTGCACATGTGGTACAGGCATCTTGATCTCCAGAGGAGGCCGTTCTTTAACTTTCTCAGGAAGTCTGTTTTAGTACCTGTTACACAAAGAGCTAACCTAAATCCTTCTTGCTGAAATGTAATTTTCTTTCCCTTCATCTATCTCCAGTGGAGAGAGATATTAGCTGGCTACTGCTAATCTTGATGTAATATCACAGTAAAAAGACAGTAAATTGGTACCCAATCTTTCCTTCTAAAACTAAATAATTTCCACTTAATCTTCTTAGGGTCAATTTTGCTTCCTTTTAATAAATTTCCTTAGTACTCCCTTAAAATAACACTTCAGAGTTCCTTTTATAAAGTATAACCTGTCATCAAAAAGAGGAAAAGTTATTTAAGATAAATAGCATATTCTGTATATACATATAGCATATTCTGTATATATACATATGTGTGCATTGTAATTTTTAACAATTTCTCTAATATGTGAGGGGGGATCTAATTCTGCCTCAATTACTCATAAACAAATTTTCACCTCAAACTTAGTTGTTACTTTGCCTATTCTGCTTTCCAAGTTATCAATAAAAAGTTACCCCACTTACTCCACTTAGTAAATAAGTCATTAATACAATCTTGCCACCTCCTTATAATCTCAAGTAACTCTGCAGCCCTCTGACATCGGGATGTTCATTTTTCAATTTGTCTAAGAATCTGTCCTATGAGTTAGAAACAAAACTATTCTCAAGATTTGTTACAGCTTTCACTTCCTCTCTAGCCATGAAAACTGTTAGACTCATAAAGGAAATAAATTGATCTGATACAACTTGTTTCTTATAAGCTACACTGGCCATTACCCAGTATCTTGTGGTCTTATAAAGATTTGAAAATTGATTTTCAATGGTGACAATTTTTTCTCTGTAAATTATATGTCATGTACTGAAACAGTGTGGATATTGAATACAAATATGATGACTTCTGATATTTGTAAATGTTAAACTGGTTGTGTTATGCTTATTGACGGTATGCTTTTACAAAGTTTAATTACTAAACACTGCATTTTCATTTTCTTTAATGTTAAAGCACTTCAGCAATTTGGGTTTTATTCAACTTTCTCCAAATAAACTCAGTCCCCTAAGAAATAATGTACAAAGACCCGATGATTGAAAAACAACCTTAGTCCTTTTGATTTCCTTCTTTCCTATTTCATTTGGCGCTCAAAAACAGTGATTTTAATAAAAAGCATTATTTAAAAAAATTCTATCAGATGTCCTTAGCTGCATTTCCAGCACCACCTAAAAAAGGATATATTCTCCTTTAGCATCTCATAACTCATGATAAATTTAAATAGCCTCATCAAATAAAAATTTAAATGTCTTTAATCTAAAATTCTTCCCAGTTGTTGTTTTAGCCTCTAGCCTGATGTCTAAATGTAGGGTATGCATTTGTAGCTGGAAACTGGCCTACTTTCTATTTAATCAGACACTTGTAATATATTAAAGCTTTACCCAGCTGTTGTTTTAGTCTACCTGGTCACCTGTTTTCCATCTTCTCCTAATATATTGAAAAATTTAATCTGGTCATCCATCTTGCAAATACTTTTCTAAAGACCATCAAGTCCTCCTATATACTTTTCAGTTTTACATTCCTTTCTATTGAATCTAATTTTCCCTTTATTTCTACCCGTTCATTTTCTTTAAATTCATTTACTTTGTTTTCCAGGTTATTCTTCTTTCTTTCATTAGAATCCTTAATCCCATCTGTTAATGATCACTCTCAGTGAGGCTGCCTTTCACCTTTAAAGCCTCAACCCACGCCTCTCTGAATATAGACCTAGGAGGTAGGAAACCCTGTATTCTGATTTCTAGTCTTTGATTCCTATTTCCTTTTGGCCTCATAGCCTGTCTGCTTGGGTTTATAGTTGGTGAAATAAGGTATTGTTAATATCTACATTAGTTAAAATGTTGGCATTTTTTCCCCATTAGAATTCACAAGGGTTTAGAGGAACCTAAACCAATGCTGATCATTTGCAGACTCTAAAAGACTTCTGCATATATATATATATATATATATATATATATATATATGCTTTAAAATCAGTAGAAAGAAGCATAGTGATCTTTGTTATATGGGATGAAATAAATTATAAATGCCTTATCTAAGTAGCATGCTTATGTTATTTTAAGTAATATTTTTAAGTTTTGCTGAATTCATTAAATGTATAGATTTAAAAGAGAATCTAGATTAACTCTTTAAGACTAAAAACCTAAAAAGAAAACAGAATTGAGTAACTGTTTAGAAGGTTTTTCCACCAGAAAATAAGAGAAGCTAAAATAGAGACTGCAATGAAGTTGTAAATTCTGGGGCCAAATCTGAGTGTACCATTTTATCAACCAGTTTCTCAACCATATCAGATTCAATGTCACTTCTTTCAACAAATATTTTGTTATACTCATTTTACTATCCTAAAATTAAATTCAGAGAACATTTTACTATTTTAAAATATCAACATGGTTCCCTAACTGTACTATACAGGAGAAAAAAATGGAAAGCAATTTATAATAAAATGATATTTATATCAATATATTAGTGTTCAAATATAACTACACTAGAAGGCATAATGCAATAATCAGACATATTTGGCTTTAAGACATTAAGGATGTGAGAAAACATTTTATACAGGTCCCAGATAAAATAACAGAGCAGTAGTATGGATGGACAACAAAATAAAAGCCACTACTGGGGTAAGTAATAATAGATCAGACTTATTTTTACATGGATTTTAAAAATGAGAAATAGCTAAAATTAAATTACATATAATATATAAAGAAAAACATAGAAAATGAGAAAGTATAATATTCTCACAAATGAGCTGGCCCTTGCTTTTAACTGTAGTGTCAAAACAATACCCTTTGTGAAAAAAATTTTTTAAAAATAAAAGAATAGAATAAAATGATACACTATGTGATAAAATGCAATGGTAATAAATTGCACAGAAGAAAGAAATCCCATCAGATGTCAGGGCATATACTCTGATACTTAAAGAGACCTTGCAAACCATATGCCTTGTTAGTAACCTAGCATCATCCTAGAAGATGAATTGCAAAAGGAATGGCAATCAAGACACTATAGAGAAGTTATGGCAGATCTCTAGGGAGTTATTAGAATGAGATTGAAAACCAACAGGCAACCCTGAGACAAGTAAATAATTTCAAGTGTTTAGTTTTTAATTCATAAATTACTTTTCATTGTACCACACATCATTTTACGTATATAGGAGGATAATGATATGAAATATTTTTCAAAGAAGTTTTTTAATGATTTTAATGTGATTCCTGTAATTCCCTGCAAGTTTAATAACATTTGGCCTCACCACTGATAAAGAAGACTCAAATCACTTAGCTTATGGACTGCACATGACAGCTACAAACAAACACAGATTGTAACCTGAACTCTGAAATTTTATATTGGCCACTCAAATGCTATAAAGAGTGCAGCTTTAAGTGACAGAATTTTCCAAAATGGTGACAAACTTTTGATAAAATTCTGAACAAAATGATGTATAATTTTCCCTCTACATGGTAGTTGTAGCTCTGGAAATCTCAAGGTATATTAAAATCATATAAAAAGCACATTGTGTGTTTATCTGTGAGACAGGTTCAAGGTTTAGGCCATTATAAACCGGATTTTTACCTATGTAAATGCCATTGAGACACACGGGACAATTTTTCAAGGTGAGAAAATTGTGACACTCAAATGCCCCCATCATTGTGGCAACCAAAAACATCCCCACAAATGTCCCCTAGGGGGAAGCACTGCCATAGTTGAGACTGTGCTTGTAAGTGTAGCCAATTCGGTGGAGTTAATTGGAACTGGTCACAGGGACAACTAAAGTACATTAACAGTGTCTTTCTAAGTCTATTAACATCATAAATGATCTATGTTTTTACTCAAGATTTTAAACAACTCATTTGACAATTTGCTACAGAAATCCAACATAGAGAAGTATGATATAAAAAGGGGATTCAAAGATGGGATTAAGGGTTTTAAATACATTTTAACTATATACCTGAGCTCCGCTATCTATAATCGTTTGCCAATATCCATGTATGCAGTTAAATTGCCTAAGAAGTGAAAATATGACATTAGAGTTGGGGGAAAAGTGATATCTAAGAAGTCTGAAGTCCTAGCATAATTTACAAATTTTAAATATTAACATATAAGCCTGGAATGTGGCCATAGAATGCTTCAAAAAGAGAAATCTATCTGAAGGCTAGATTAATTTGGTGTCACTTTGGCTCTTCTTTCTTTACTTGTTTAAATAGGAAAGAGAATGAGGATTATATGCAAATGAGAACATAAATGAAAATAAATACCTAGAGAGCTAAATGACATTTTTCACCTAGATAGACTTGGTTATCATCATGATAAGACTCAGGGAATAAACAGAAAAGCAACTCAAGAAACACAATATTTGTTAAAGACATAAAAGTTTTCTTAAAATTACTTTAAACCTTTATAATAAACAAATGTAAACGTTTATAGACAAATATAGTATGATTTTTCCATAGGGAAATGCAGTAGCCATGCACAAAACGATGGGCATTGTTTTCTTAGCATCATCTTTGACCTGAGTTGATTGATTGTGTGGTCCAAAATATACAATCTATAAGTCTAATAGGTCTAAAATTGAACTGTTTATACCTTGCTTGGTGCTTAAAGTACATTTTGATCCCTAAAATGTATTAATTTCATTTTGAAAAGGGAAAAAATAACATAAGGCAAAATGTGCTAACAGTTTCATTCATGCAATTTGTATGTTTTAACCATTGTCTGGGGCACAAAGATAATGACTGTATAACAATAGTAGGCTCAAAATTTTTATAAAATTCTTCCTTATGTTAATTTTTAAGAGCTAAATAATGATATAAGTAATATCTCCCATTGCACAAGAAACTCCTTGAACCATTTTCTAACTCTCCATAAGCAACGACAATAAATTTATCTCAAAAGATGTAGCTAATCAATCTACTCACCCTCAGCAAGAGAACTAGAAGTCTGGCCACCTCTCCAAATAATCTTTGTAGGAAAGGAATGTAAGAAGTGACCAGCTTCTATCAACCCCAGACATGTCCTATTATTAACACCTCCCTGTGGCCACTTCTATTGTAAGTTATCTTTGCCAGAGCATTCCTCTTGTATGATTTTACAGTAGCCTTTCTTTTTCTCAGAAAGTGGTCAGTCTTAAATCTAAATAAAATAAGAAAAGGAAGTAAAAATTTAAAACCCCGCACACGATTCTAGAATTTTTAATAGAGTACACAGACACACACGCACAAAATGGCCCTTTGCTCTTCTCAGCTTTATCTGTAATTCCTTCACTTGAACCTCACTCTTCTAAAAGCTCTGTGGAGCATCTCACACAGGCAGTGCAAGCATATGAAGAACCTAGCTGGCTTGTCTGTCACTTCTCAGTGACACAGAGAGGGGAGTAACACAAACTGGAGCTGGGTAAAAAACCCATTCAGAAGTTTCATGGCTAAAATGATTTTAACCATAGGTAAGTTCTTCCTTCCTTAGATAATTTCCACATTATAGAATTTAATGAGAAACTTTGAAGATAGAATTTGATGAATAATAGGAAGTAGGGTTTTGACTCTATAGGAAGTAGGGTTTTGAGTCTTTAATAAGTGAAGCCCATTAACAGCTAAAGCTGCCATTCTCTCTCCCTTGGTGCACAGCTAGGACCCAGTCTTATCATTGGATACTCACATGCCACTCTGTGTGGCAGAAAGTGACCGTAAGCCCTGTGTTCAGTTATCAGCTGGCTGCATTTAGTCACACCTGAATCAGGGTCACATTGGTCATGGATCATTAGCAGGGCATTCAGAACCATCTCTTTATTCTATTTCATCTTATATTACTCTTACAAGTACTTTCCAATTTTTTTAGGGCCTTTTAATCATATCAAGTCAAGCCTCCTGGGATCTACGTCAGATTCAAACCTCAACAAATACAGCACCATTAACAAGATTCCACAGCTCACTCTGAATTTTTCAGATGTCAAAACTGAGAAAAAGAATACATCTCCTCCTTCTTCAGATAAAACTATTATTGCGCCCAAGGTTAAAGATCGAACACACAATGTGACAGAAAAAGTTACCCAGGTAGGACACGATTTTCCTATCAATTTCAACTGTTTCTGAGGTTGTTTTCTGCACCATAAAATACATCTTTTTTCTTTTAAATTACCGTCAAATAGAGTAAGCACTTATTTGTGCTCCTATTTATCTTGAGATTTTGAGTGACTCTCTAATGTAACAGATTCATAAAGCTATGTACTGTGATTTTATCTATTATAAGACTAAGCAAAAATGCACTACCTTGGTATTGTTATTCCTGTTGTTATAGAGGTTGTTAACTTGCTCTTCATCATGTTTGGACACTTATTGTTTTGCTGCCAACTTTCACATTATTAAAGCTTTTTTTTTAATGTAATGGATGTGTCTATTGGAGCTGTAGGGAGTAATTGGGATTTACTTTTAACCGTGGTCTTCCTTTTTGCACTCAATCTACTAAATAGAGTCATATCTAAGTCAGTTGACTTGGAGGAAAGAGCTGCTGAGATGATGAAAAGTCAGAGTGAAACAATGCATTTTACAGGAACAATATCTTATTGTTTTCAGATAAATACTGCAGCTTGAACTAGGTAGGGTAAAAAGTTACTGTATAGCAGGAGTCCTGCTTCAAAGAGTAGATAAAAATGATTTCTACTTATTATATCAAAATACCAACTAAGCAGTACCTAGCTTTTGCTTACAATGCACTTATGTTGCTGGGAATTCATGACTCTAAAATTTGTCAAGTAAGCAGTTCTTTTACAAACAATTGACTTAGTATATTTGCTTAGCAAATCTTTGTATAAACTGTCCACAATACAAAGGCAAACTTGACCCCAATTTCTATCCTAAGCATTGAAGATTTTAAATTAATAAGGTTTTCTGTAATTATTATCACTACAAACAACACAATAGTACTGTTTTTATAAAGAACCTCTTGTGTGTAAGCTGAAATAGCTAGGAAAAGACCATGAATAAGTCATAAACAGAACTGTGTAGTCTATATTTATTTGAGATGAGAAATTATACATGCCATTCTTGAGAGCATCCTTTCTGTACAGTTTAATATTGATGTAGTAATGAGCCTTTCTACTCTTTGCATTTCACTTTTCTTACCTTATATTTAGTAAAATGGGTATAATATTGGTAAATAAAGAGTCGACTGTTAGGCATGTTATATTAACACCATTTTGAGAGGTTTGAATTTTACTTGCAATTGTTTTTACCTTAAAAGTTATGGTAGTTAGAGATACTAACCACTATGTGGATGTATAAAAATTAAGAGACTGAAGGAGCAGCAGAAGAGAAATTAGAAATATTAGTGTCAGGGCCCTGCAAGAAGCATGAGTGAGTGACCATGACAGAGTAGCACAGTTGGAGCAATGGGGACTGTAGCCAACTGCAGAGTGCCGGCCCCGTTAAGAGCAGACAGCTGCCACTCAGCTCCAGCCAACTGTGGTCAGGCAGATATGCTTGACCAATGAATATTTCCAAACCTTCCTCATTTAGAGAAGAAATTGGAAATCCAGAATTCAAGATAAACTCTTCATTTCTAAAAATTGACATACTAAAAAAATGCTTTTGAACTCTTTTTTAGACTGAACAAAACATACCTTAAGGCCAGTGGGCAGCCAAGTGTGATTTGGGCAGAGCTTTTGTGTGCTTGGGTGCTTGGGTGACCAAAGGGGCCACCCTATCCTGCCACACTCAGCACAGCCACTGTGCCAGGAGAGAGTGATACCCACGTGGATCTGAGATGCCACCTGCTCTGGGGGCTTTCTCAGCCTAGTGGCACAGGACACACATATTAAATGGCCATAATGAAATGCATGTTAATAAAGAATATAGAAGCACAGGTTAGGGAGAAAGTAATTATGCTTTAAAGGGAGAGTTTTCAGAAAAGAAAAAGAGATAGGATAAGACACCTAAGTTGGATCCAGAAGTTCACTTAACAAACTCAGTAGTAAGTAATATTTAAAAATATAAATGAGAGTCAAACTGGCTTGTGTTTTAATTCTGGCTAAGTCGTTTATTGTATGCCATGGAGACAAGTGGCACTTCCTGTGTGACATTGAGGCAATTTTCACTTCAGGTATTCAGGTGTGGCAAAACTTATTTCTCTGAGTCAATATCAGAACTAAATGGAATAGAAACATGTTCAGCACAGTGCTGAGCACATAACAAGCAATGCCAGCTGTTATTATGTTCATCAATCACCCTGTATGATATTCCTCGCCATCTCTGCGGGACCCATTTCCCCCTGCATCCCCAGGGCCTAGTGGAACACCTGACAAAATGGAGTCCATCAAGTGTTTGCTGAATGAATGAATGAATGTATGAATGAATGGAGGAGTTGGCCAAGGAAAGGGGTAAGAATTCCAGGTAGAAAACCACAAGAGCAAAGTTATGGAGGCACAAAAATGTATATGTCTTCTTAGAACAAGTGGTTTCATGGGCCAGTGATAGGCTAGGCTGGAAACTTTCCCCTCTAGAGGATTATTTACTGCCTTTTCATATAAATGCCTTGGGGTCCAAGTAAAATGCAACAGCTTCCATCAAAACCTTCGTATTCTTTTAAGATCTTACGCTTTATCTTTGAAAATCCTGTGACTTTTATATTTAGCTTCCTAATATTATAATATCTTTTTAGCATTTTAAAAAATGTTTTAAACTAGTGCTATAGACTGAATGTTTGTGTCCTCACCAAAGTTTATATGTTGAACCCTAAACGCAAATGTGATGGTAGTTGGAGGTGAGGCCTTTGGGAAATGATTAGGTCATAAGGGTAGTGCTCGCATGAGTGGGATTAGTGCCCTTATAAAAGAGACCCCAGAGAGCTCCATGGCCCCTTCTGCCATGTGAAGACACAGCAAAAAGACAGTTGTCTATAAATAAGGAAACAGGCCCTCAACCAGGCACCAAATCTGCCAGCAACTCCATCTTGAACTTCCCAGCTGCCAGAACTGTGAACAATATATTTTGGTCATTTGTAAGCCACTCAGTTGATGGCCTCCTATTACAGCAGCCCAAATGGACTGAGATAGCTGCTTACTTCTGAGTAAATGTCAGGCCCACTTCCCCTACAGCTTCTCATACTTTCCCCAAATTGTGGAGTACTCACATCCCATTATCCCAAGTACCCAAATTAGAGAGGTGTAATATAGACAAAAGACTTTTATCAGGTATTACAAGATTACAATTAGACTATATTTTTTATAAAGGATCACCTTTTTATGCAATGTGAAAAATACAGTAAATGGAAGGAAATTATAAACACAAGCAGTTATGGTCCTGGCCAGAAATGGGGAGGGACTGTATAAAGACTGAGACCAGAAATTGAGGGGGAGGGGGGAGGAACATTCTACCTTTTTTTAGTGTCCCCTTTAGCTCTTAGTAACAAACCTTCTAACTGTCTGCATGTCAAACTAAACAATGTAAAGATCAAATTTTGAGAAATTCCTCCTGCAGACATAGCCTCTGAAAATTTCATTGAAGTACTTAAAAGCAGGGCTCTCCTATAACTCTTTTTTCATTTTGTGTTCCTGAAGTTTCCTTACCATAACTATCTCTGAAATTTCCATATTCACTGACTATAACATTGGTGGTCCTCGCATCACTAAAAACTACTTGGAAATAACCCAAATACTTCTGTCTTCTCTATACTCCCTTTGTTAGGCCTGTGTAGAGATTCTCTTTGTCAGGAAATTTTCCACGTATTTCCCATAAGCAACCAGCAGTATTTTCTTAATTGAATGCTTTTATTTATTTTATTCACATAATAGAGTTGTATGGTAATCCTTTCTTCAAAAGAAGTCAAGGTTTTGTTTATAGATCATTCAATAACAAATTTTAAACACTCCTCAGTGCACCAGTGATAGAACAGACATCAAGAAAGAAAGGCCTAAATGAAAGGAACAATTAATCTCTGCTCATGTTGCTCTGTCTCAGCATTTGGATCTTATCTCTATTACACACTGAATTAGAATTGGCCAATTAGTTATTTGCTTTCCCAGCTAGAATGAGCTTCTTTGTAGTAGGGACCATGTTGTTATTCATTCATTCGTGCATGCATGCATGCATGTATTTGTTTATTCAAGCAACAATCATTTACTGAAAGCTAGTCTGTATAGTGCTAGATACTGGGAATTCAGAGTTAAAAGGCAAATTCTCTACCTTTTAGAGAAGTGAAGGAGACAGACAGATACAGTACATAAGCATTACAATGCAGTGTGAAGTATTATACTATGGGCAAAAGTAGGGTGCACAGGATACTAGGAAAGGAAACCTAACTATGTTGATAGTTTAGGGTAGTGGTTGGAGAATATAATCTCTTAGGTGAATTTTGAAGCTTGAGACACTTCCAGGGTTAGAAATAAGAATCTGGAGTGGGAACTATAGGTACCAAAGAGTGGATAAAGCATGAGGTGTTTATATCACTAGTGCCTAGCATAATATATGACACAGAGTGGGAATTTTAAAAGATTCACACATGAAACATTGAGGATTTGGATAGAATTAAGGAAGAGTACATTTGTAGCCAACAATCTCCAAAGTGAATGCCTGCTTTGTAGATTCTTCCCTTATGCAAGATTCCAATTTATGCTATTATTCTGGTTCTATGGATATCTTTTGTTTGTCTTAATAGGCCAAATTTCTGGGAAGCATCAGCCCTTGTTGCTACATTCCATCTGACCTTCTTTATTCATTTGGGGAAATAGAAAATAATTCTCAGAAGGGGTATGTGTGTGTGTGTGTGTGCTTCCTTAATTGTAATCTGGCTGTTATAAGCTAATGTGCAGTAATGTACATCTCAGAGGCGCAATGCCTGGCTGGTCATTTATACTAAATTCTAGTGCAATAATGGAGAGTAAACAATGAGCTGTGAGAAAAGGTGGGGAGAACAAAAGTAAGGTCTGCTTTACCATGAAGTTGCAGGTCTCAGTTGAGAATCAAATGCCTGGCTATATCCACCTTCTTTTAAATAAAAGTAAAACAAACTTTTACACCCTTGTATGATTTTGTTATTCCTTAGGCTAGTTGTAGTTCAC